ATATATATATATATATTATTTCAAAAAATTTATTAACTAAAAAATAATTTCAAAAAAATTTTATTTATTAACTAAAACTATGAGCAAAAGATATCACATTCAAATTTTACATCCGAAAATTAAAATCAAATAAATTGTTATACAAGTATAAAACACTTTGTGGAAATGTTTTTAAATAAAGTAAATCCAAAATTTCTAATTCAAATAAGATAAAAAAGAAAAATCTATATTCACAGTACACATATTTCTCATTTCATTTTACTAATAAGTCATTCTTAGGTTTGCTCACTTATTTCATTTACACACATCACATGTCTCATAACTTATGAACAACATCATAAGCATTTAATGTCTCTCATATATTCTCAATTCTTATTCTTAGGCACACTACATACTATTCATTCACCTGACATTTCATAGATTACTCACTCTCACATTCAATAAATCATGTAATTCGTTTAACAATACTAAATTAATTAAAAAACATAGTTCCAAGTATAAAAGTCTGTTGGGACAAGACAATGTTCAACGTGGGGTGCCTTGTGCCCAGTGCGAACGAGGCTGCGAGCCTCTAGAAGGATCACGCTCAGGGTGATTCTTCTTATGCCCAAAGAGAGATCACAATAGAGAGTCCCCTAGAGCTCCCATATTTGGTGTGACCAAATTCACTCACGATGTCATTTGTACCACAAGCAATTCGAAACTTTCACACTCGATGTTATTGCACTCAAACCTAGGTCATTACGTCGCAAGTATTTCATACTCTCGTGCCTGATGACCCCAATGTGGCACTTGATGTGGTATTAGTAAAAACATAATTTGCATAATTTGCGTTTCACTCTCTAAGGGTTTGGTTCTACTACTACTGTGAATTCATGTTAATAAAGGTATCTATAATCTAATTAGTTCATTTTTTTACAAGTAATTACTACATACAATTATTTCATCAATAATTTGTTTTGTATCTTGTCCTTAGGATTTCCTCCCAAGGAACCCATAGGCACTCAATAGGGACAAATTCATAGATTAAGAGCATGACTATAGTACAATAACATGCTTAGAAATCAGAGACATCATAGACACATCTATATGCACATTGCAATAATAAAAAAATTAGGTTTGATCCCTCATGCATACATATACAAACAATGGAATTGGGGTCAATCCCACTATCCAATAGATAATTCACACTCAGAACGAGATTCTCACTTTTCCCTTATCTTGATTGATGTTAAAATCTGGATTTAGGTTTTTGAACTTTTCTCTTGTAGTCTTTGACTCTCCTTCTTCTTCTAATCACAAGGCACACAAGTTAATTTGATAAAGCGAGATAACTCTAACCTTAACACATTTAAATAAAATGTTAAGCTTATATTTTGTGTAGCACATTAGTAAAATTCTATTTTATTTACTCCTCACTATTTTCAAAAATAAATCAAATAAAATAACTACTATTATTTTAAAATATCTCTCAAAAATATTATATTACTCCAAATTAATTAATTAAAATTTTATATTAATTTATTATGAAAAATGGGATGTTACATTTAGGGAGAGGAAAAACGAACCATGCATTATTTGTCTCTAAAGCCTCAATTACAACAGCCATGGCTTTACACCAATCAAGGAATTGCATACCTTGATGATAAAATTGAGGCTCATAATGATCGGTGAGATGGAAAATGAAGGTCTTATAAGTAGGGAGAGTCA